GTGCAGTGACACCGCGTGTCAGCCCCTGGGACGTGCGGGGGTGGCCCTCGGGGGTATCCAGCGTGTGACACCCCAGGGCGTGCAGTGACGGTGACACTGGGTGACATCCCGTGGGCCATGCAGTGACAGCGAGGCTGGGTGATACACTGCGGGACGGCAGTGACGGTGACACCGGGTGACACCCCATGGGCCACGCGGTGACATGGCACTATGTGACAGCCCATGCGCCCGGCACTGACAGTGACTCCGTGTGACAACCCACGGGAGCTGCAGTGACACTGCATGGCAACCGTCGGCCCCGCGGTGACAGTGACACCCTGTGCACTGCGCGGTGACAGTGACACCATGTGACACCCCGGGGAGCAACAGTGATGCTGTGCAGTAGCGCGGGGCTGTGCGGCAGCAGCGTGTGACACGAGTGGGACCGTGCAGCCGTGGTGACACTGTGGGACACCTCAGGGGCTGTGCAGTGACAGTGACACCACGCCACACCCCAGGGACCATGGAGCGATGGTGACACCGTGACACAGGGCTGTGCAGTGACAGTGACACCATGCACAACCACAGGGACCATGGAGGGATGGTGACACCGTGACACAGGGCTGTGCAGTGACAGTGACACCATGCACAACCACAGGGACCATGGAGCGATGGTGACACTGTGACACAGGGCTGTGCAGTGACAGTGACACCACGCACAACCACAGGGACCATGGAGGGATGGTGACACTGTGACACGAGGCAATGCAGTGACAGTGACACCATGCACAACCAGAGGGACCATGGAAGGATAGTGACAGTGACACCACACCACACCCCAGGGACCATGGAGCGATGGTGACACTGTGACACAGGGCTGTGCAGTGACAGTGACACCATGCACAACCAGAGGGACCATGGAAGGATAGTGACAGTGACACCACACCACACCCCAGGGACCATGGAGCGATGGTGACACCGTGACACAGGGCTGTGCAGTGACAGTGACACCATGCACAACCACAGGGACCATGGAGGGACGGTGACACCGTGACACAGGGCTGTGCAGTGACAGTGACACCATGCCACACCCTGGGGACCACGCAGGAACGGTGACACCCGTGACACTGGGGTCCATACAGTGATGGTGACACTGTGCCACACCCCGGGGCTCACACAGGGACAGTGACACCGGGAGCCATGCAGTGACAGTGACACCACGCCACACCCCAGGGACCATGGAGCAATGGTGACACCGTGACACAGGGCTGTGCAGTGACAGTGACACCATGCCACACCCTGGGGACCACGCAGGAACGGTGACACCCGTGACACTGGGGTCCATACAGTGATGGTGACACTGTGCCACACCCCGGGGCTCACACAGGGACAGTGACACCGGGAGCCATGCAGTGACAGTGACACCACGCCACACCCTGGGGACCACGCAGGAACAGTGACACCCGTGACACTGGGGTCCATACAGTGATGGTGACACTGTGCCACACACAGGGACAGTGACAGCGGGGGCCATGCAGTGACACTGGTGACACCGCTGCCTTGTGCTGACACCACGCTCAGCAACCCCCCCAACTGTCCCCTCGGGGGGTCCGTTCCTCCCAGCTATTGGGGTCCCCACTCTTGGGGACAGTCCCCACTGGGGGGTGTCACCCTGTCCCTACAGCCCTGTGGGGGGGACCTGCCAGCTCTGGGGCA